CAGAGGGAAAAAAGAAGTCCTTCAAACCCATCAATTAATGGGGACATTATTTCTCAGCAAAGGAGATGAAAATCCAGGTTTGGGGTTTAGGAATGGAACTGCACCAGGGTGGGAGCCAGGGATCTTCACTCAGGGAGGTTTGAGTGATATCCCAGTGCTGGGGCTCCTGCAGGTGGGGGTTAAGGGCACAGAGCACTTGGATCTTCAGAGAAGTTTGATACCACAGCCAGCAGTAGATATGTGGAGTTAATTTGGTGCCTGGCTCATGGGGAAAGCTGGACACGTGCTAAGAGCTAACTGGGAATTTGTGTCCCAGTTTGGCTTTGTGGCTTCTGGAGCAAAGGCCCAGCTGGGCTGTGCTGGGCTTGGCACAGCAAACTGGAAGGGATGAGCTGGAATTCTTCCTTTCCTAGATAAAAGTGATCACAAACCAGACTAAATCTGGGACTGGGACACTCTGGAGTTGTTTTTTATGCTGCACCTTGGCTTTTTATCGGGCGTTCACAGGTTTTTCTTTTCCCTTGAGCTGTGCAGGAGCACCTGATGGTTCCTGTCCTGTTGCTGAGCCCCGGGATTCCTCTCACACCCTGCACTTGGAGCAGATGCTGTTTAAATGTTCCAGGAGGAGCTGTTGGCAAATGGGGGATGACAGGTTGCAGAAACAGGATAAAATAGCAGGAGATTCCAAGGAAAGCTTGGAGAGGCAGGAAAGGAAAGGGGCACAGTCTGGAGAGGAGCTGTGCCAGGCTTGACTGGGTTGTGAGACCCCCGTGGAGGTGCAGACTGTGCAGGGCAAGGCTGGCAGATTTTCCTGGTTCCTGGAGGGCTGGAGCAGGAAATTCTGTCTTGCTCTGCCCTCATTCCACCCTGAATCCTTGGATTGCTTGGGGAGGAGCTGCTCAGCTGCCTCGCAGAGAGCTCCATGTCCACAGACATCCAGCTCCCATGGAGATTTCCCAGGGTACAGCGTTCAAATGGAGTGAAGCAAATATAACATTTATGGAAGCAGAGATTCCCAGAACGATCTGGATTGGAAGGGACCTTAAAAATCACATAATTCCACCCCTGACATGGGCAGGGGCAGCTTCCACTATCCCAAGTTGTTCCAGGCCCCATCCAGCCTGGCTTTGGACACTTCCAGGGATCCAGGGGCAGCCACAGCTGCTCTGGGCACCCTGTGCCAGGGCCTGCCCACCCTCACAGGGAAGGATTTCTTCCCAACATCCCATCTAACCCTACTCCCTTTCAGTCTGAAGCCGTTCCCCCTGTCCTGTCACTGCTGTTCCTGCTGATTTGCAAAACCACTTAGGGCAAAGCATTAAGACAATCCACGGGGAATTTGTTTTCCTCTTCATCCTCTCCTTGACCCTTTAGGAAATGTCCCCTGGGAGCCATTTCAAGCTCCTGCCGTGACTCTGTGGGCAGCAATCCATTCCCATTGACTGGAAAGGGAATTCTGACTTTCTCATCAGCTCTCCACCCTGTGCAATGGCTGTCCTTGAGCCTGGGATTAATTAGGACTGATGACCAAAAATGTCATCATCAGGCTTCCCCCTCTCCTAGGACTGTCCTGAACCAGAAGAAGGGAACGTAAAGGAGAGGATTCCAGCTGGGAAGTTGTTAACAGGGCTGTGCATCCCTGGCTTTGTGGGATGTGGCTGATCCATCCTGCTGAATCCAAGATTCCCACAGGTGACCAGGCACCGCTCAGCACCAGAGGCTGCAAGGTTTCCTCAGCCAACTTCTGTTTTGAGTATTAAGCTCTGCCTTGTGAACCTTGAGGAATTCAGCTCCCAGGGCAGAGGAAATGTTGGAAGGGGTCAGGCGAGCTGTGCTCTGTCCGTGTCACTGGGAGCAGCCAGCAGCATTCCAGGACAACATCTGATTTTGTGCTTTTACGAGGCAGATGTCTGGGAGAAGGGCTGTGCTGTTTATTCCAGCTGCCATCTCCCAGCCCCGCTCCCGCCCGGAGCCCATAAATAAAGATTCTTGGGATCATGCCGCCGTTTGGGCAGCCCTGCCTCCCATCAGGGCCTGGACAAGCTGCAAACCCCGCTCCCCCTGCACCTCGCTTTTACAGGGGAATAAATCAGGGAGGGCTAAATCCTCTCTCGGTGACACGAGGATAAACGCGGGATGGCCGCGCTGACGTGGGCGCCGCGCTGGAATTGTGGAGTTTGATTCCTTCATTTGGGAGTCCTGCTGCTGATTTACTGCAAAGGAGCTTGGGCTCAGCGTGTCCTGGGACTGAGCAGCAAGGCAGGGCTTGCTCTGGGATGCAGGGCTGATGGCAGAGCAATTCCATGGATTTTGCTTCACAGAATTCACACAATCACAGAATCACAGAATTCACAGAATCACAGAATTCACAGAATCACCAGGTTGGATCACCTTCAAGACCATGGAGTCCAACCCCGCCCCAACAGCTCAGCTAAACCCTGGCACCCAGTGCCACATCCAGGCTTTGTTAAACACCCCCAGGGATGGTGACTGCACCACCTCCCCGGGCAGCCATTCCAGAACTTTATCACCTTTCTGTGAAAGTTGATGGAAATGAGTTGCAGCCCCGGCACAGTTTGGGCCTCAAAGAGCTCCTCGATGAAAGGAAGGATAAATCCTGTGTAAAGTGATTATTCCCATTGGCTGACCCTCTTCCAGGAGAGCCCCACAGGGATGAATCCCAGCCTTTGGCTCGTGTGAGGATGATGATGGAGAGCAAGGCAGCGGTGCCCTCACACCCTGGTGCCACCACGGAGGCACTGGAGATCCCAGGGCAGGAGCTGCCCCTGGAAGTGGTGCCAAGAGCTGCTCCAGAGGGGTGGGAATGCTGCTCTTGGCTGCCTTTTTCTCCTCCAAGAGGACCCAAGGAGTTGTTGAAGGCAGCAATCAGGGTGTTAATCCTCACTTGTTTTTCTAGGCTTCCTCACTTGTTTTTAAAGGGTTGGAAGTGAAGGAATGTAAAAGAGGTGCTGGCCCCTCTCTGCCGTGGCTCCAGCCCGCAGCCTGTGGGTTTAAGCTCTCTGTGGATATTCCCTCTTGGATATTAATGGTAATAATTATGGATGTGAAGTGGATATTTCCTCTTCAAGCTGCAGGGCTCCCCAAACAGCTCTAAAGAGACTTTGCAAAGGAGTGCCTGGAATTCTGCTGGCTGCTTTTAGGGAAGCTGGAGAGCCCAGTGGCCACCTCAGGGCCTGCCAGCCTGGCCCCATAAATACCACTGGGCACAGGGTGATTTACACTGCTCTGCTGATGGCACCTGGCCAACTCTTAATTGTTCATAAGTGACTTTTTTAATGGCTCAGAGTGGCTTGGGTCACCCAGGGCGAGAGGCAGTCGTGTGTGGCACAGCTGCTTTCAGGGTCCAGGAGATGCACTGGGTGACATGAGGGTGACCTCAGGCTGGACCTGGGACCTTCTGAGGGTCCCCTGGAGGAGCCTCTCTCAGCTGGAAGGTGGCCATGGAGGTGCATTGAGAGCTAACAGAACATTGTCCCAGTTTCCCCACCGTTTGGTTCTCACTGAATGACTCTGCTCATGGTGGTTTGCCAGGAGGGACCAAACTGGGATTATTGCCATGGAAACTGGAGATTGGGTGGGAAGCTCCTCCAGTGGGGCAGCAGGAGGAGGGCTGGGCTTCTGTGTCCTGTCAGACTGTGTGGCTTGGATGTGGAACACCACGAAGTCATTATTGTGATCATCTTGTGTAAGATATCCAGAAACATCGACTTCCTTTGTTTTCCTGGGAAAAGCCAAACCAGGATCTCAGCCCCTGGAGGGATGGAGGTGATGAGCAGCACCATAATGAGCAAAACTCTCTAATTACAACAGCAGCAATCCAACCCCAGTGGTGAGGGATGCAGAGCTGGACACGGAGCCTTGCTGAGCTCCGTGGCTCCGTTCCCTGAACACAAAAATGGAATTATTTTGGAGTATCCCCTTTTCCTTCCCACTTGAACTCCACCGGTGGCTCTGCCCTGGGAGCTCTGGGAAGGGTTCAGGTTTCCTTGGAAGCTGACAAGCACCATCTATAGGATTGCTGCAGAAGAGGCCTCGGGCTCCCAGCTGATCAAAAAGGGCAGAGGAGCTTCACTCCCACTTTCCAGATTTGTTCTGGAGAAACTCCAGCGTGCTCAGCATTCCACGGTGCACACAGTCACAGCTTCCTCATCCATCCCTCGTGGCTGGGGGATTGTCCTCCCTGGACAAACTGCTGCCCCTTGGTCCCCTGGGGGAATGCTGCCTGTGGAAATTGCTGGAATTGCAGAGCTGGGATTATTTCACACGGGGATTTTTTAAAGAGCTCATAACCTGCAAGGTTTCCACTTTTCCTCGGGAATTGTAGGGACAGGACAAGGGGGAATGGCTTCAAATCGACAGAGGTGGGATATTGGGAAGAAATTCTTCCCTGAGAGGGTGGAGAGGCCCTGGCACAGGTTGGGAAGGAAGAAGGGAAGAAGGGAGCAAGGAAGGAAGGAAGGAAGGAGGGATAAACACACTTTGCAGGGCAGATGGAGTACAAATAATGTTTTTAAAGAGATGCTGGCAAGGGACTCTGGTGCAAATCATCCCTGTCACGTTGGAACTTCATCCTTGATTTGCACAAGAAATACCATTCCAGTTTGGATACCCAGAATTCTTCTGAGAGAGGCATTGTGTTCCCAAAGAACAGATATGGGGTTTTTTTCCCTCTCTGCAGATCCTTTTTGGCTTTAAAGCTGTTTTCTTCTCCTACACACACAGATGATAATCTTTTACATGTCCTTATTAAAAAATATCACTTCCAGAAAATAAAAACACTGGCATATTCTGTACTTGTTCCTTTCTCTATCTGTGAATTAATTTCCCATTTTTTCATCTGACCTGCCAGTCATTTCGTATCTCCACAATCAAGGAAAGAGGTTTAATCTCTCTCCTGGCTTTGCCATCCGAATCCCTCCTCTATCCCAACCTCCCTGTGCTAAATTAACGCTGCTTTCCTTTCTCCTTGTTCCCCACAGAGATCCCTGGCTGCCCAGGCATGGTGGAGAGCTGAACGAGGCAGCCTGTGTTCCTCACCCTGAGCTCGTGAGGGCTCTGCAGAGATGGAGTGGGAGCACGGCCTCGCTTCCCTGGGCCGGGGCACGCTGTGGGAAGTGACTGCCCTGGCCAAGGTCCTCAGCCCAACCCATCACCCACCACGCACGCCTCCAGGAGAAGCTGGCCAAGGACAACCAAGGGACCAGGAGAGGCTCTGAGAGCCTTGGAGGACACCAGGAAGCCACAGGAACTGAAGGAGGGCATGTCCAAAGCGTGACAAAAGGTGCCGAGGGTTTTTTCCCTCGGAAAAGCCTTTCCAAAAGGGAGCAGCAGGGTCTCCAGCTGGTTTGGAAGAGGCACAGCCAGGTCAGGAGCCCAGCAGGACGTGCTGATGGCAGCCTGTCCACCTGCTGGGTGGGGATCCAGGGGAAGCAGGAATCTCCAAGACCAAGAGAGAGGAGCGTGGAAGATTCCTCCAATTTATTCTGTGCTGGTTTCTCCTTCTGGTGTCTTCTCTGTCTACCTCTTCTCCTCTAGAGAGCACGGGGGGCCCTGACTGTCACCAAGGAGCAGAAGGATTGGCACAGGGCAGGAATGGGGCCTCTGTTCTCTCCTTGCTCCAAAAAATCTCCAACTGTCCTGCCTTGGGCAGGCTGGGACCTGGCAATCCTTTCCTTGCAGGAAGTCACATTTCAGCAGGACCAGCCTCCCTTGGCAGCCAAGATTTCCCACCTGAGGCTCAGAGCATGGCAGGACATCCTTCCCTCTCCTGCAGCTGTGGGAAGGAGCACACCGAGCTCCTGACTTTGGATTGTGGAAAACCCACTGAGCAGAGAAAGAGATGGAGGGACTTGCGGCCTCAGGCAGAAAACAGCAGGAAAAACTGGCTGAAAACCACAAAAATCGTGCACCTTGGAGTGGCAGGTGCTGGCCCAGCTGCAGCTCTGTGGTCACTGAGCTGCTCCCAGACCTGGGCAGGACGTGCTGGTACTGAACTGTGGGAGCCCCATCTCAGACCTTCCCTCTCGGGCTTCCAGCTGCAAAACCCTCCCCTCCAGTGCAATCCTATTTATTTATTTATTATCTCGCTGCTTGAAGTGAAGCTGCTAAAGAGCCCCCTCCCCACAAAGAGCCAGCCTGCGTGAGGGCACTGGGCAGAGGGGCAGGACACAGGGACAGCTCCCAGCAGTCACCTCCTGCTGTCCTGGTGGGGCTGGACTTGGTGGTCTTTGAGGTTCTTTCCCACCAAACCCACCCTGCGGTTCTGTAAGATCTGAAAAGGATGTCCCATGCCTGGAGGTGTCCAAGGATGGGTGGATGGGGCTCTGAGCACCCTGGGGTGCTGGAAGGTGTCCCTGCCCATGGCAAGGGGTGGCTTGGGTGAGCTTTAAGTCCTTCCACTCTAGGATTCAATGGACAGGGGTTGGGCACACGAGGGAAGAGGAAAAGCTGAGACCAGGATTGCTGGTCTCAATGCAATTTGGATCTTTCAAGGACTAGATCATTTAATTCCCACCCCAGCTGGGAATAAATCTTCAGCTGGGCAGAGCTTTGCTGGGAAGGACAGAGGCTGCAGCCCCTCTATCCTGACTTGTTTTGTGCAGGGCTGTGAGAGTTGCTCACCTGGGGGGCTCTCAGGTGCCCTGCTGCTCTCCCACAGCTTTCAGGATACCCTGAAATCCCTTGGCACAGCTCCCAGCTGCCCTAGAAGAACATGATTTGTCCCTTTGCTCTGAAGAACCCTGCCAAGGCTTAGTCCAAAGCTGAAGGGAGATATTTCCCACCAAAACCTGTTCCTCAGAAGATTCCTGCCTGGCTCCAGTCCCTCTTTCTGTACTGGAAACACGGTCCTTGGGGTTGTTGGCAGGTTAGGGACATCCCTGGGGTTGTGGCAGTTCTCTTTCTCCCCAGTCCCTGATGTGCCAGAGCAGGTACAGGAGAGGAAGGGATGAACTTCAACCATTTTTACAGCCCAAAGGCAGGGACCTGCCTTGCAGAACTGTCCAAATCCATCTGCCTGTCCCTTCAGGCTTGCTCCAGGGATTTCACCCTTGCTGGATCTATTTCTGGGCGCCCTGACCCCGGGTTACTGTGCTGTCCCCTGGGAGGTGGCTCCGTGCTCCACAGCAGGAGCTGCTGGGTGTTTCCCACCTGTGTTTGCTCCTGGAAACTCCATTCCATTTCCCCTCGTGCTGCTCCTCCAGCCCTGCTGTTCACGTCCTCCTGCCACCTCAGCAGGGCTCCTGTCCCCTTCCGAGACCCTCCCTGGCTCCCTGATTGCTGCTGTTCCCTGTGCTGAGTGCTCATTAATGAGAATCCAACCCTGGCAGTGGCCCAGCTGCTAGCTGGTCATTAATGAGAATCCAAACCCACCCTGGATCAGCCTCTGGCAGTGCCCAGCTGCTGTGCCAGGTCATTACTGAGAATCCAAACCCTGGCAGTGCCCAGCTGCTGAGCTGGTCATTAATGAGAACCCAAACCCTGGCAGTGCCCAGCTGCTGTGCCAGGTCATTAATGAGAATCCAACCCTGGCAGTGCCCAGCTGCTGCTCCCTCCCTCGTTTGGGGTGCAGGGAAGGGGCAAACTGAGCCAAAATGGACCCGTGTTGGCACTGAGCACTCGTATCCCAAAATATCAGGAAGAAATCCTTCCCCGTGAAGAGGGTGGGGAGGCCCTGGAATGGATTTCCCAGAAAAGCTGTGGCTGCCCCATCCCTGGAAGTGCCCAAGGCCAGGCCTGGCAGGGCTTGGAGCCACCTGGGATAGTGGAAAGTGTCCCTGCCCATGGCAGGGGTGGGAATTAAACGGTCTTTAATGAATTAAATTATCTTTAATGTCCCTCCCAACCCAAACCATTCCAGGATTCTGTGATCCCAGAGGGACAAGTGCAGGGCCAAGGCCCAGCTCAGCAAAGCCCAGCCTGAGCTCTGGCAGTGGGGGTGCTCCAGTTTTCCCCCTGGGAACGTGTGGGGAATGGGAATTGTGCTCTGCCCTGCCTGGGAGTCCCCTCCAGGGGGCTGGGGGCACACGGGGGGCTGGCCTGGGGGGCTCCGGGTGCAGCTGGGGCACCACGGGGGGGTCCCAGCTCTGCTCCTGTCACCGAACAAACTGCTCCCACTAATAAAGGATGGAAAGTGCTGCTCTTGCCACTCTTCTTTCTCCCAGCTGGCACCAGAGGGAGGGGCTGGTGGGAGCACAGAAATGCCAGGGCACCTCGGGAGGGGCTGTGGCACCCCAGGGAGGGGCTGGATGCAGTCAGGAAAACCGGGGGGAATCAAACACAGAGTGCAGGGACAGGGATTGCTGCTGCTGGGGGTGGTGGGTGCCAAAAACTCCAGCAGGGAATGGGCTGTGGGGCAGGCTGGAGTGGAGCTGGGCACTGGCTGTGGGGCTGCAGGAGGAGGAGGCACAAAACACACCAAGGAGGAGGAGGAGGGAAGAGGGTGAAGGGCCGTGAAGAAGGTGCTGAGCATGCCAAGGGTTTCACAGAGGAGTCTGGGGTCTGCTGTGGCACTGTGCTGTCCCCTGGGCTGGTTCTTCACCCACTTCTCAGCTCCTTAATTCCTGCTCCCCACCCCTGCTCTTCTCCCGGCTGACCGGGGCAGGGTGGCAGTGACAGCATTGCAGCTCCTCAGGAGCATTGGCAGGGGAAAAAAAACGGTCCCCAAACAAGGAAAGAATCAAAATGACACATTTCCAGCTGAATTAATGACGAGACAATTAATCATGCCAATTAAAACCAGTGGAGAACCCAGAGAGCCAAATCCATAAAGATGCTCCAGGCAGCAGCACCCTGGGGCTTCACACTGCCCTGGCAGGAGCTGCAGGCAGCACTGCCAGGAGAATTTGGGAATTTCATCACAGAACAGCCTGGAAAGGAGAATTTGGGAATTTTATCACAGAACAGCCTGGAAAGGAGAATTTGGGAATTTTATCACAGAACAGCCAGAAAAGGAGAATTTGGGAATTTTATCACAGAACAGCCTGAAAAACTGCACAGATCCCTGTGGAGTCATCCCCTGCTTTTCAGTGCTACTGAGCACTAAAATGCTCATCCCTGCTGCCTGTGGGCATTCCCAAAGTCACCTTGTGTGCCACCCACCCACCTCAGAGCTTGCCCACCCTCTGCAGGCATGGATGGATTTCCCCCAGGATGGATTTTCTCCATCTCCCAACCTTTCCATCTGGATTTACAGAGCTCTGGGACTGGAGAAGTGTGAGTTCTTTTCCAGGAGCCCACACAACCCCAGACAGCCCAGCGAGCACCCAGACATCTCCCTAAAGCTCCTGAAGCTTGCGAGCAAAGGGCTGTGAGGAGATGGCAGCCCGTGGCCTGGATGGATTTCCCCCAGGATGGGTTTTCCCCCAGGATGGATTTTCTCCATCTCCCAACCTTTCCATCTGGATTTACAGAGCTCTGGGACTGGAGAAGTGTGAGTTCTTTTCCAGGAGCCCACACAACCCCAGACAGCCCAGCGAGCACCCAGACATCTCCCTAAAGCTCCTGAAGCTTGCGAGCAAAGGGCTGTGAGGAGATGGCAGCCCGTGGCTGCTATAAACCCTCTCTTCATCCTTTCATGGTCCGAGGTATGGACATGAGTTACGGCAGCTCTAAACCTCCCGAGAGCAGCTTTCTTGAGCGCCTGCTACAGAGCATTGTTAAGCCCAGATGTCAGCGCTCGCTGCCTGAATGAGGCTGTTTTACGAGGCACTTTAATCCTTCCAGGAATCCAGTGACCCCTTTTCCACCCACAGATCCACTCCTGGCTCTGTTTTTTCTCTCCTGTTTGTTCCTCGAGGCTCTGGCGCCGTCACCCCTGGCAGCCCCATCGTTTCCAGATGCAAACAGATTCCTAAAAACCCCACATCTGGCTGGGTTTGGGGCTACCTGGCAAGCTGCAGAGAAAGCAGGGGCTTCTCTTGTGACTGTGCAATTTTTGAGGTCATTTTGCCCCAGCAATCCCTGTGCGATGCCTTCCTGGGGTGCCCTGTGGCTTCTGGGGGGTGGATTTTCCTGGAGTTTGGAGGAGGATGGAGGGGCTGTGCCCTCAAAGAGCCACGGCCACCCCAGCACAGCCACATCCCTTTGGGATGGCCCTCCCTCTCTCAGCATCCTTTTTAAATCCTGATTTAAAGCAAGCAGCAGGTGCTTTCCTTGCCTTCCTTATTTCCCTTCTGGATGTTTTATCCATTTCCCTGCTTTCTTTATTTCCCTTCTGGGTGTTTTATCCCTTTCCCTGCCTTCCTTATTTCCCTTCTGGATGTTTTATCCCTTTCCTTGCCTTCCTTATTTCCCTTCTGGATGTTTTATCCATTTCCCTGCTTTCTTTATTTCCCTTCTGGGTGTTTTATCCCTTTCCTTGCCTTCCTTATTTCCCTTCTGGATGTTTTATCCATTTCCCTGCTTTCTTTATTTCCCTTCTGGGTGTTTTATCCCTTTCCCTGCCTTCCTTATTTCCCTTCTGGATGTTTTATCCCTTTCCTTGCCTTCCTTATTTCCCTTCTGGATGTTTTATCCATTTCCCTGCTTTCTTTATTTCCCTTCTGGATGTTTTATCCCTTTCCCTTTCCCAATACCATTCCTGAGGCTTTTCCTTCCTGGGGCACAAGCTGAATTCACATTTATTTCCATTCAAAAGGCACAAATCCCAGCAAATATTGGATTAAACCATTCCAAGCTGGTGATTTACCATTATTTTGATTGCTGTAGGAGCATGTTGAGTTCCCAGATGCTCTGGACTGTCTCCATGGAAATGGGAAGGAACCTTTGCATTGCACAGTCCCGAGGCTGAGGTTTTGTCTGGGATGTGATGGGGGCTGCTCTGCTTTGCTTTCTGTATCAGTGAAATTCCTGACAAAAACAGGAATGTGCCCAGCCCAGGCTGTCACCTGACTGCAGGAAACGAAAAACAGGAAGAAGGAGCATTACAGAAATGGAAATGATGGTCATTAAAGCCCAAAAAATCCCATCAAAATAAATCTGGACGTTATAAACACCCAGCAGCTTCATCCATGCTGCATCCAGAGCTGCCTGTGGCTGCAAAGTGGAAAAGCAGGGAACTACCCAGTGCTGATAACCATTAACTGCTTCCTGCAGGTTCTGCACCTGGTTTTAGGGTTAATCTTCCTGCCAGGGCTGCCCAAGGTGATGGAAAGGCTGGATGGGCATCCAGGGATGCAGGTGGCCACGAGCTGTGTTTGCAATGGCAACCAGGCAACAGAGCAGGGAGCTCCAGGTGGCCCCAGGTGGCCCCAGGTGGCCCCAGGTGGCTCCAGGTGGCCCCAGGTGGCCCCAGGTGGCCCCAGGTGGCCCCAGGTGGCTCCAGGTGGCCCCAGGTGGCCCCAGGTGTCACAGGAGCCACGTGGGAAAGAGGCTGGTCCTGGGATCTCCGGATGGTCAAGAAGGGATGAGCAGGAGGACAAAAGCAGGCAGAGGGGACATCCCAGAGGCAGCAACAGCACCCAAAGGTTCAGCAGAGGTCAGGAAATGAGGAGCGAAGGAAAGGGTGGTTCTTCATCAGGGACAGACAAACAGGGATGGGGACGAGAAAGAGGGGAAACTGAGGCTGGATATTGGGCTGGAATTGTTCCCTGGGAGGTGCCCACAGCAGCTGGGGCTGCCCCTGGATCCCTGGCAGTGCCCAAGGCCAGGCTGGGCATCAGGGCTTGGAGCCTTGCAAGAAACATCAGAAAAAATTGTGGAGCCACAAAGGAATTGCACACCCAGCAGACTTGGGGGAAAGGTCCCCAAAATCTGGGGTGGTTTTTTTGTCAGCTTTGAAAAATCATTTCAGATTTTCTTTCTGGAAAACGCAGAAGTCCCAGCTCCATGGTGGCTTTGTTCCCCTTTGCAGAGGCGAGGGCACTGACCCCGGGGTTGCTCCACTTCCTTCCTCCCTCCCGCAGCTGGAGAGGTTTTGTGATTTTGATGGGTTTGAAACGGCAAAGGAAGGGGGTGGGGGAGAAATGAGAACACCCTGGGCATCATCTCGACAAGTGCATTCCAGGACAGAGCAAACAAAGAGGAAATTAAATTTTCCACTTTTCTTTTATCATCCAAAGCAAAGCGAAATGAATGCGTCAATCCAAAATGAAATTTTCTGTGTTTAAGGAGCCACCTCCAAAAAGTGTAATCAGAATTTTAATTTTTTTTTTTTTTTTTTTTAGAAAAAAGATGGATTTGATGGAATCAGGCTCTTTGATCCCCAAATTGTGGCTAAGCAGGGTGGAGTGGCACTTCCATGCTGGGCTGCAGTTGGGTATTTCCTGCTGGTCCTGGTGCAAACTTGGATGGGTTTGGTAAAAAGGTGGAGAGTCCCAGCTGGGGTGGAGCCACAGACATCCCACAGCCCATGGAAAGCTGGGAACAGGGCAGATTTTGACAAGATTTTGGCAGGATTTGGACAAGATTTTGACAGGATTTTGGCAGGATTTGGACAAGATTTTGACAAGATTTTGGCAGGATTTTGGCACGATTTGGACAAGATTTTGACAAGATTTTGGCATGATTTGGACAAGATTTTGACAGGACTTTGGCAGGATTTTTGGCAGGATTTTGACAAGATTTTGGCATGATTTGGACAAGATTTTGGCAGAATTTTGGCAGGATTTTTGCAGGACAGGAGGGAGAGGGGGAACCCCTCCTTGCTCTCCCATCTGCCACCTCCAGCCAAGCTCTGCTGCATCCCAGGTGCTCCCGCTGGGATAACAGCACAGAAATTCCATGGGCTCCGAGCAGCCCCTCCAGGGCATCACCTGTT